ACTCCGCTAGAACCAAGGGAACTTCATGAGAACTCAATGGGAACTCCTTGAGAATTTAAAAGTAGTGGGCACCCAAAGCAGCAGGAGCTGCCCCACTGCTGGACAGCAAAGGTCCACATACACAACTGAATATACAGCTTGCCCCAATCCAGTATCATCCAGTTATAGCAATCAGTCACCATCCCAATAATTATACACAGCTTAACTTAATCACCATCATCCCAATGGCTCCATGGCGTCACCTCCAAACCACTCCTTCTGGCAAAATGCCAGGTGCCATCTTGACTTGGTTGTGGCTCTCAACACACAATATCTTTATTTTATTTTTATGTGGTACTGCAGATTGAACCCTGTGCCTCACACATGCCAGGCGAGCGCGCTACCACTTGAGCCACAACCCCAGCCCCTAGATTTATTCTTTACACTAGGTGCTTTTTAAAGATACCAAAACATATGGTTTTTATAATTTTATAATTTAATTGACTCTACTGTACTACTAATTAATTCTAATAGCTTATGTATATTTTCTTTTTGCATTTTAATGCACAAAACCATGTCATTTGTTTCCAAATTTTATAAATTCTTTGTGATTTTCTTATAATGTTGAACTGTCCAGTAGAAATGTTGTTAGTGGTCATTCTTATTTCTATAATCACAAGAAAAATATTAAATATTTCCTTATTAAGTATGATGAATACCATAGCTTCTCTTAGGATTCTCTTTTTCAGATCAAAGGCTCCCTTTTCATTTTCAGTAATTTAGTGGTTTTATTTTGGATGGATGTTTAATTTTATCAAATTTTTCTGTATGCATTGGTACAAAGTTATTTTTCCCTTTTATATGTATGTGTGCATTGTTTTTGTCTAACTTTGTTTTCAAGTTTATACTAGCCTCCTAAAAAAATTAGAAAGTGTTTCCTATATTCCTTTTTTTTGTAAAAATTTTGGGTGGTAACATTTTAAATAAACATCAATGGTCTTAATACTTATTCTTAAGTGTGTAATTAATTATGAGTCTCTGCTGAACATTCTTCATGAATTATATAATTAATATGCCAATTTTTTCAGATAAGAAATCAAAGATGCAGAAAGATGAATTATTCAAAGTTTTCTCATAAAAAGTAAATGGTAGAACCAGAATCCAAACTTGAGCAATCTGACTTTAATTGCTACATGAATACTATTACACAATATGTTTTATATTATCTAGCACAAAAAATAACAAATGATAAATTCCTTGTGTTGGTGAGATCTGGGAAATAATGCTGGGAGCAATATAACATTTCATGATAATTTTTAAAATGAATTCTCAATATTTGAAACTTATAAAAATTTTCTTTTTTATTTTTTTTTTATATTTTTTAGTTATTGGCGGACACAACATCTTTGTTTGTATGTGGTGCTGAAGATCGAACTTGGGCCACACGCATGCCAGGCGAGCACACTACCGCTTGAGCCACATCCCCAGTCCTTATACAAATTTTCAACAGTAACCTCATTTCAATTTAATTTTAAGGAAAGATCAACTGTAGAAAATATAATATTTATAAGACTGATCATGCTAGCACAAGTCTTTATTTATAATAAAGAAGAATTTTAACAGAGCCATTTATATGTTTACATGAATTGAATAATGGTTGCATTAAAAAACATGGAAAAATGTTTTTTTTTTATGACACAAAATAGAAATGACACAAAATAGAAAAGTGCATGGTTCAAAACAGGCACTCAATAAAACTTTAAAAAAAAATACCTGCAATCTGTGATTTGTAATCTGAGCAGAATGCTATACAGCCTTTAAAATATAACAAGTATCCACATAGCTTTAGAGAAAATCTTTGGCCAAATGGTCATTACTAAAAAATATTAACAATGTCCATAAAAGATGGTAAGAGATCTCAGAAATTACCAAAAGTTTATTGTGGGCTTACATTTATTTTCAATTACTTTTAAAGGTATTGTAAAGATTTCAATCAAACATTTTAATAGACTGGACCACCTGAGAGGATTTCAGGTAGTTGCTACATTTATTTTAGGATGGCCTCCTAGACATTTTTTTTTTACTATATTTTTTCTATTGTTACTAATCATAATGATAATCTCAGGTTGTTCAAAACCTGAGATTCGGTAGGTAGGTCTCACTTTCAAACATAAACATTTATTTCTAGTTTTCCAGGAGGACTGACATTAAATATTCATTTTTTTAAAGTTCAAGGTTTGTCTTAGAAATACATGATTTAGCTAGTAAAGTGGTTCTCCATGCATGGTACTCAGATCTGCAGCAACACCTGGAAGCATGGTAGGCACTCAAATTCCTGGGGATCATTTGAGCCTTTCTGAATCAGAATTTCTGAGTGTAGTTCTTAGGTTCCTGTGTCTTAACAAGCTCTCCAGGTGATTCACATGTCTACTAAAGTTTGAGAATCACTAAGGCAGGGACAACAAATATCTACCAACAAATATCTACCGCTTACTAAACCATTTCTTTGTGTGGAAATGTTAATGACTCCAAGTCCCAGGAGTAGAGAAAAGGAAGTATATTTATTATTTAGTTCAATTTTCCATTTTGAAAGATGCTCCCTCTCCAAAAACAAAAACAACACACACACATACCACCCATTCTCAAGGGAAATGACATATATTTAAAATCTGCGTGATTAGAGATGAGAAGTGTCAGAAGTTGGTGATCAGTTTTAAGAGCTACTGCATAAAAAAGACACCTGTGGTGAGTTTTCCAGTATTGGGTAAGAAAATAGAGCAAGCTTTTATGAGATTTTTGATAGAACCTTATGCTCTTCAAATTGAGTTTGGAAAAAGCAAGAGTATCATTCTTTAAGGGAATAAATTTTTGGTCCCAGAAAATAAGATTAATAAAATCCATATATTTAATTCACATAAATGTGTTTAAATAATGAGCCACTTAAGGAAAACCAATAAATTTGGAAAGGTTAATATTTTATCTGTTTACATAAATAAAACATTTTTAAAGCACTTCTTCAAATAATCTCTGGTGTCTGTAGGAATAACAAGCCTGAATGTAATTGTGGATTTTTCTCCAATATTCCTTCATGCCTTAGGTTAAGTTTTATAGGTTTTTAGATGTAAGAAAGTGGTATGAACTACAAAGGTCAAGGTTTTGGAACTCGACCTCAATTCTGTTACTTAAGCATTCTGGACATTAATTTHTTCCTGTATAAATGAAGATTAAGATGCTTAACTCCAAGAAGATAAAAATACCTGTGTGAATTAAATAATATATTTTTATGATGTACTCTAGTATGGTGTCTTTTGAGCATTCTTATTAAAATGAATGCTCAAAAGTGTTATTATTTGTTTGCTTCCCAGTCTGTTGATAACTACATATGTACATTTTGCAGATTAAAATATTAAATGAATCAAAATTAAGTATGGTTAATCATGCTATTTATAATTTTACCAGTACAGGGGAAAATGGAACAATGAAACAAAACTTGGACTAGAAAAAATTCTGTTAGAAGTATAACTTCACTCTTAATTTTCTCTGCTATTATGTGGTATGAGATGTTAAAACAAATCAATAAGTTTGAGGACACTATAGGTAGATTAAATTAAATTTGGAATTCATGTTCACAGAGTAAGAGGAAAGAGGCTTTCAACTGTGGCAACTAAAACAAGTTTAAAATATTTAGTTAATTTAACAGCCATTTTTTTATTATAGTCTAAAAGCAGCAGGATATAGAAATAGGTTCCTTAGATGCATTCTTTTTGAAAGAGAAGTTTCATGAAAGAGAGGAAGCAGAAGTCTGGGTGATCAGCAGGATAGATTGGCATTAGATGGTTTAATAAAAGATAGACTGATGAGGAATAGGGAGGGAGTGCTCACCACAAGTCTTTGGATTCTTCCAGCTATATATAAGATGAATTGCATGTGTGCGCTCATTGAGATTTCATGTGGTTTAGAATAAAGTCCAAAAAACTAATACAGCAATTTCTCCAGTTGTTGCATAGAACTAAGAAATGAAAGGAAAAATGTGCAGGAATATAAGAGAATCATTACTAATGTCTCATCAGTCCTCACATACCAATGTTCATTTTGGTTAAGGGGAGAATGAATGCTTAGATATTTCCATACCATAAAGATCAAAAGCCCCAGTCATGAACCCAAATTTGGTCTTTCCCTTCTCTGAAATGTAGATTGCTTTATTCCACAAATCTCTTTCTGAAGTTGTGTATTWGAGTATTTTTCCTTCCATGTTTAAAAACCACCTCAGAGCATTCTGTCTTTTTTCTTTACAAATGTCTTTGCTTGTAGTAAGTGATCAATAACTATTTGATAGCTTCAACAAGCTCAATAAAATGAAGATATAAATAGAATTTGTTAGAATCAGAAAATATCTCATGTAATCAAATTAGACACTTAATCTGTGAGTGGTATTTAAGTATTTACAAAGTATTTTTGCTCTTGATTTCAACATGTCCATTAAATACAATGTTAATTGGAAGAGCAATAACACTGTCCATTTTGGCTCTTGGCTTCTCATTGTAATGACCATATTGTTTGCTAGAACGAAAACAGGAATCACTGGTCCACAATAAGCCCATGTTTTAATTTCCAAAATTTCCTCTAAAAAGGGCCATTCCATCTTCTAAAATAAACCAGTGTGCTCAAATATAACTCATTGACTATTCAAAAACTCCTAAGAGCTCATTATTGTGTTTCTTTTGGTGAAAAACAAAGCAAAATGTTTCACCTGTGAAAATGGAATAGCATTTATCTCTGGGGCAAACACAATGAGTTTTTCTTGATAGGACCTGTTTGTACTCTAACTACTAATTTACTAAGGTAAACTGTAAGCTCTATGTACTTAAGAAACCTGTATTATCATGGTTTTCCAACATCTAAGACACAGCTGATAAATAACAGGTCCTTAAATGATTGAAATAATAATTATTTTAGTGTCTTTCTAATACATTTCCCATCTTCTTTTATTTTCCAGCTGATGCCAGATTTGCATTTTCAAAATGATTATGACARACATAACCACGAGGAATGGATTCCTCCTCTTGGGGTTTTCTGATGACCGTAAGCTGCAGATCTTGTATGCTTTGCTCTTCTTGGTGTTGTACCTAGTGGCTTTGACAGGAAACTTCATCATTATCACCATCACAACACTGGACCAGCACCTCCAATCTCCAATGTATTACTTYTTGAAGCAACTTTCCCTTCTGGACCTCTCCTTCATTTCCGTCACAGTCCCCCAGGCCATTGAC